ATACATGTCCCCTTTTCATTTGCGCCGGCCGTGCCATCCCAGCCAACCAATCCCCTATACCGATGCATATATCAGACGCCTAGATAATTAAACAAATGTACAGCCTATATTGGCATCCCTCAGCTCCAGAGCGGCGGGTGGATGTACTCCTGCGCTCTGTCAAGAATATTAGGTATCGTCCACTCGCCGCTGGTAGAGCTCTCCGGCGTGGGCGGCGGCAAGGATCCGAGACTCGGCGTCATGCTAGCCGACACAGGCGGAACGCCCATTCCTGGGTTGAGATAATTCGGTGATCCTGCTTGACTGGCACGAGCCGCCTGTGCATTGAATGCGCCTTCCAATTTCTCTAGCGCACGAAGGGTCTTTGTCAAGGGCTTGGCCCATTGAGTCTGCGTGTCGACAGCCACAGCGGCGGAGGCTGGAGATGCTGAGTTCAGACCCGCAGGGCTAGGCGCTGTGGTGCTTGGGGGTCTTGTGGCTGCACCGAGGCGGGCGCTGCTGTCGACTGGTGGGACCGCGGCGGCTTCTGTGGCGGCTCCGTAGTCGCCCTCGATATTAGCTCGTTCGGCGATGATCATCTTGAGTTGTTGTAGGAGGGTCCAGAAACGGGAGTGACCCTTGACTTCCTCTGTGACTGCCAGCAGGAAGATTGAGCTGATGGCGCGTTGTAGGGCAATCCATGATCGTGAGGCGTGGGAACTGACGGTGTGCATCTCAACATAGGCTTCCACGGTAGTCATCAGGTTGCTCACGCAGTCGGTGCGCATGCTGGATAAGGCGGGGTCACTGATGTCGGCGTTTGCTTTGAGCGCTGGCCGGCAGAGCTCAGAAGAGAAGTAAGATGAGTGCAGCTTGAGGACGACCCGTTCGAGGTGTTCGGTTGCTGAAAGGCAGTATTTGCGGTCTCGAAGATGTGGCTTGGCCTCTATCATGATTTGTTGTATCCGTTCTTTGTAGGTTTGGATCGTTTTATAGCTTAGTTGTGAGTGCGGGCTCAGCATCCGGCTGCGGACCACCTCCAGCGCTAGTGATATGATCCGACACAATGTCTCGAAATATGAGAGCTCGCCGGGCTTCCGGTCATCCTTGTAGGCAATTTCTGGCTGGCTGACGGCTGTCGTCGACGGCCGATCATAGGAAAGGGAGAAGTGACTATCTTGCCATGCCATGGACCACCTAGAGTTTGTTAGCCGCTGTTCATCGTAATGCAGTCGAGAAACTTACCACACGTGGCGTCTACGATATCGCTCAGCTGCGGTGAAATGACCAGACTCCACATGCAAGCCGAGCGCCAGCCCCATTCGAAGGGTCATACCAAGGAGAACATACGATATCCCGGGGTTCATGTTGTACGATAGCACGTTCCCAATCACAAGCAGCGTCTGCATGGCGTCTATTGTGGGCTGGGATAGGAAGTTGGTCATTCGAAGACACTGGTAGGAGCAGCATACTGCAATAGATCAGCACCTGCATTCTACCACAAAGCAGACAGAACTTACCGTATACTTGAGATGTAAGTTCTCTTTCCTTTCCTGGCAAATCCGACGATTGGCAGCCGGAAGCAAGAACGGCAAACAGCAATCCCATATAGGCGATAGTGACACCAAAAGGTTTCTGGGCTTGATCGGCATCCGCCCGATACATACCACCCATGGCAGCTCTGTTCCGCAACATTAGATCGAGGTTCATCTCGAATTGTGGGACATCTTCCAGCACCGGGTAGATGGCGCCTGCTATATCCCGGTAGTAGTAGAAAAACCTGTAGCAACCTTCGTTAACTCCGCAACACTATCAAATCAGCTGTCGGTGAAGACTAACTCTTTGCACTGTTGGTCACTCGGCAGTGCGCTGCAGACGGCGCTTATATCAAAGGATGACATATCCGATGACCACAGGTCAACGAACGGATACGTCGCAGACTCGTTATCCAGACCCAGCTTCGGCAGAATCCCACCCTCAAGGAGCGCTTGAAGCTGATCCGATCCCGACTTATTGTTCAAGATGTAGGCCAAAACAGACCTGGATCCCAGGTGTACAGTGCCTTCACCAAACGTATTCGGCGCATGGATGCCCTCTCGTTCCGGGGAGGCACCCTTGGATCTGTTACTCGCATCCCCGCTCCGCACGCTGCTCGTCTCCAGCGTCGAAGCCGGCCCTTCCTCGGCCTTTTCCAGACCCACCCGCAGGTTATTGATGGTTTGCTCCATCTCCTTCAATCTCGTGCGAACATTGTCCCATTCCTCGCGCGCAATCGACACACGGCCGCCGGTTGCTGTTATACCTGGCCGGCTCACACCCGGTTCTTGCTTTAGACGCACGGGAGGCTCAGGCGCGTACCCGAGATTCTCTGCACTCGTAGGCTGGCTACCAGGGATGGGGCCGTCGGGATAGGATTGCGGAAGCGAGCCGGTCATGACGCGCTTTTTCGAGGGACGCTCGTATGAACAAAGATCGGCATGATCGCGTTTGACACAACCGTCGCAAGGTAGGTTTCGATCGCACTTAACTTTGCGGGCGTGACACGGGTAACAGGCTTTAGGTTCGCGGGCCTTTCGCTTCGTTCGGATGATTGCGTCAACCTGAGATTGGGGCAGGTCGGAGACTGGTCTGGATGAGGCAGTCGAAGGACCTGAAGCCGTCATGTCGGGGCCCGCTACGGACGGCGAGTACGACACGGACGGCTGGTATGGGGACGTCATTGCAAGGCTATGTGAAATAGAACTGATAAAAGAGAGACTCGGTCTGAGATATGATCGGCGATTCGGCTAGATTAATGAGTGCGTGTTGCTGGTATACTGATGCTTTCCCATATGAACGTAGCGGAGTCGAGCGGGAGAAAAGAATGCGGCGGTGGCAGTCGTTGTAGGTTGCAGGGTTCACATCGATAGTGAGTGCTATATAATTAGTCCATTGACAGCAGGTTTCTAATGTCGGTTCAGATGAGCCAGGTTCGCATCATCTCGCAGCAAGAATATCACCGCGAGAGCTGGGCGCAAAGACGAAATGCTGAAGACGGACTTGGCCGAGCACCGACCCGTACAGCATCCCATGACTAATCATGGTGTATAGTCACGTGCGTAAGAGGGGAAAGCTTGGCGGTGCCCTAAGCCCTATCTGGATTATCAGGGCCGGTGACGTAAGGCAGTGGCTGGTAATTATGGCTACCTAACCAACATGACAGCTTTCTAGAGTGAAAGTCCTACTTGTATCCTGCGCTATCTGCAGCTGCCTTGGCATATGTAGGCATGGGGTTATTAAACAGCCAAGCTATTCTAGTGACGGACGCTAATCTAACGGGATCAAGGATTGTAAGTAGATCCTTCCGTCACTCGCCCCATTGCATGCTGAATGACAGACAAACTAATCTCATAATATAGTTTGACGATGATTCCTTATCATTATTGTCCTCAAATCTTCTCCCAGGAGTACGTGTATGTCGCTGAGCTGTTATCCGGCACACCAGGCGTCGAACTCCAAAAATACGTTGCAGCCAGTGGATTACCGACAGCTTCAACAATAGGAGCCAACGTGAAGTTATGCCTTGGATCATGCTCCTCTAACAGACCATCCAGGACATCCTGCGGTGGAGCATAGTCCTGTGGTTGATCAAACAGATATAAGGTAAAGTCGTGTACTCTGCTTGTTGCAGGCTGCGCAGGGTGATACGACGCCAGAGCATTGCTAGAATTGATGAATTTCCCGTCCTGCAGTGTGTAGTTCCATCCCCACCAGTGCAGACGAGTTGTTGTGTTGACCAATCGGCCAGGTACAAGGCTTGAGTATTGGTCCAACGTGGCGAAGGCCGAATCAGCAACATCGTAATCCACCATCATGAGCATATATGTTCCCGGGTAGGAGCTTGTAGAGTAGCCGGGATACACGGTCGGGTATGTAGTATCTATTTTGGACGAAATTAGCATACTAGATAAATATAGTGCTGGGACTTCGCTCTGCTGATATGGAAGAATGCTGGTCGTAACAGGAGCTACATACCGTTTGGATTTATCCAGGCCCCTGGAGTTATGATGTTATCTCCAAATGAAACCCCTAGGTTGGTCTTGGTTTGTGGCCAAACACCAGCTGCTGTCTGGGCCATGGTAGCGCCTGCAGGAATACATAGCGAGATTAGTGTTGTTGCGTGCATCGTAAGTGTCAACAAACATAGACGTAGTTGCAGGTTTATTCAAGCATGTCACTGTGTGCCTTTAGACTGGAGCCTTGAATAAGTAGCTTAGAAGCAAAATTGCAACTGCGGAGCAAAGCCTCTAAATTGAGCTGAAGCCACGATGTAACTTACTGGTCTCAAAGTGTCCACATAGTTGTTGTTGTAGTAGTAGCTTATGGGTCGCCGGATCGGGTAATCCGTCAATGGCTCCACGGAGTGAGGGTGATGAGATTATTGGATGTAACATTCTCGGCCAATAAAACATACATGTTAATTTGATAATCCAGATTCGAACTTATACCAACCCGAAATTTCCATCGATTCCGATTGCGAGTGGTAATTTGCATGTTAAACATAGCCAAGAGCGACACCAATTTTCCCCTGGCCAAGGAAAATAACATGGTTTTGTTTCAACAACTTGGCCGCACATTGACCACCAGTAGTAATCAGGTGAAAATAACCAGAGACAGAAAAGTCTATTATTGGGTGTTGATCTACTGAGATCAAATAGTCTCTATTTATCAAGATCCAAGTACCTCACATGTAGGAAGGGCTATTATATGCTGTCAGACATCATGCCTTAGTTTAGAATAGTCTTGCAAGTTCCATTTTAGGTCTGCCATATGCTGCATATAATTCTTCTAAATATTCATGAGTCATATATATTAAGAAAGACGTGATGTACATAAAATCTTGATATCAACAACGCATCACTCTTTCAGGCATTTTGCAGGGTCCAAGAGCAGAGATTAGTTGAGTATATAATAGGTATCATGTTGGAGTCAAAGAGCCCCAAATGATCGATTGGGCTTCGTGCAGCTACTTTTTCGACTGCTTAACTTTTCTCTCCATTCTCTTCGTCGTCACTGAAGGCATAACGCGAAAACCGCCGAATGGACGCTCCTTTGAAGTAGAAGACGTACGGAATCGCGCAGCAAGCCAGCGCAATGAAAGCAAGCAACGAGCTTGCCCACTGGTACCCAAGGCGATCATACATCTGCTCAGTAAAGAGTACAGTAGATGCACCCCACATTGAGCGAAGGAATGTCTTAGCGGCAAGCGCAGATGCGGCCTGGTGCTGGTACGTATCCACTAAAATAGGTCAGCAAGGAAGTCCTTATAGTCTTTGGATGGCGAGCATACCAAGATAATTATTGGCCGAATTATATAAGAAGATAAATCCGAATCCAACTGGCCAGCCTCCAATAGCAGGTCCAATCCAATGAATAGTGGGATATGAGGTCCAAGCAAAAATGAACAGTCCGATGGGTATAAGCCAACAAGAAAACATCATCGGAATCAATCGAGCTTCAGCAGGAGGCTTTCCTCCGTACTTAGTGTAAAGAGATAGGTAGTGCTTGTTGACAAAAGGTGCGCAAGCGGCACTCATCAGTACGCCAATGGCAAGTGGGATGAACATAAGACCGGTCGAGCCGGCACTCCATCCTTTCCCAGATTGGTATACCACAGGATAGCTGATATTGCAGTCAGTAAGATGGTCTTAATAGCAAATAGTGCACTACTCACGCAACGAAGAACATGTACAGCAAACCGTATAGAACCGACATGTAAAGTGCGATGAACAGAACAATGGGTTCTAGGAACAGAAGCTGGAATGGGCGGAAGAGGAACACCCGCAACTTCTCGCCCATAGGTCGAGAATCTAGCTCCGTTTCCGTCACGTAGCTAGGATCGTCCTCTTGTTTTCTTAATTTCTTCGCTCTCCGCTTGAGAAGAGTTGGTGCATACGTCTCTGGAACAGTGAAGGTGATCAGCACCCAAGCAACGAAGGCCAGGATTAACTGCAACCAGTAAAGCCACTTCCAGTTAGTAGCGTCGGCGAGATAACCGCCAGCCAGCGGTCCAATGGCAGGCCCAATGAATGGACTGGCTGAGAACGCTGCCATCGGAACACCTCGCTCTTCATTCTTCCAAAGATCGGCCAAAGTTCCACCCACTAGCGTCATGGGAGCACTGAACGCGATCCCATCAATAGCTCTGCAGACAATGAGGGTCCCGATATTTGGAGCTACGGCGCAGGGAATAATGAAAATGACAGCTAGTAAGAGCGTGCTTGCGTATATCATCCGCCGGCCCACCATTTCGGACAGGGGGGCAAAAGCCATGGGACCTGAGCCTAGTCAGAGAAGTTTATCAAGCCAAATCACTGGGAGAGACTTACCGACACCAAAGCCAATAACGAACACAGTAACGACGATAAGGCTAACCTCTCGAGAAACGCCGAATTGTTCTGCAGGGCCTTCGATATCGGCCGTGATGACACTACTAGCGAAAGCGACGACAAAGCATGTGAATGAGACCACCATGGTACAATACCATTTGAAGGCTTTGGACCAATTTTTTGGGTTCTCGGGATCGTCGACACTGAAGGTTACCAGCTTCCAGTCTTCCATTTTCCCTGTAGCAGCGGACCGGACTGGTTTGATGATTTCTCCTGTGGTGGTTTCCGTCGTGTATTCCTCCATGTTGGCGTTCTCGGTCACCTGACGATAGGGTAGATCCAAAGGATCGGTCTCAGTTGTGAGAGCTCGTGAGACATGATTATTTGAATAGTTGGAGTGGTATGTTTCATCCATGTCTTGAGAGGTCGTCGTGCGAGGCAGACACCCGTGCAATGATTAATATTGTTCTGAGATGTACATGTAACCCCCAGTAGCCACGCGAGGGCTTTGCTTGTATATATAGACGGCCATGCCTGCTATGATCGCCGGTAATTTGAAGGTTCTAGTTCGGTCGTATACGAGGTAGAAGGAAGTCCAAGTATCCATGGGAGACATATTTCCTGAAAGGGCAGTATGTAGGGCAGTATGTCGGGCCGGCTAGCAGATATCTTACTCTATCAGGAAGTTAGAGAGCTAGCCTGATCAGGGAATATGCCACGAGAGTACGAACACTTTAACACGGCTTCTACTTATTGGCTTCAGAAAAAGCTTTATCATGCTTTCTTCAATTTCATTAGATGCAAGTGCGTGTCCAATATCGGAGTATATTTTCAGGTGAGGCTAGGGAGATAAGGTGTGCATAGATCAACACTCTCTCAGAAAATCTTGACTTGCAAGGTATGCCATCTCATTTCAGACAGACATTATAGAAGTAATCGGATAGAAAGGAATATTTCTCAGGTGAAGAGCCCATTGAACCATGGCTTTGCCGCCATGGAGCATTGCGTGGCTTCATGCTAAATCCAAAGCGCTAAGGCCTGAGTCTGCCACCTCCATTGCATATGAAAAGAAGTCTCCGCTGCCAAGCTGCAAAGCCAAGGATTAAAGTGCATTGCTCTTACTTGAAGATTTCGTGGTTTCCGCCAGCAACCCGGAAGGGTGCTTCGGAGCATGTTTCCCAAATAGGAAAGTTTCCCTACATGGAGACAATCGGTTTGTAATGGAAAAGGAGAGCCAGGACATATCTTGTGGAGTCCATCAATCTAGACCAGAATGTGTTTAGTTTTCTTTATCAGATCGTAGGTTTTGATCTTTGCATCTAATTGGGCCAACAGAACATGCTTTAATCATACAGGGTGAACAATATCGAGAATGGACCTTTCCACGACATCAGCGGGCACAATCAACCGCTCATCAACCACTCAACGCCACAAGGAGCTATCTCTGAGCTATGGCCCATCCTGGCTCCATTCAGTTGAACAACCCGATTGTTTTCGAATGATCCATAACAAAGCTCGATGATGGAATGTCTGTAGTCAGCGTTTTCCGAAGACTTTGACGGCATTGGGTGAACGTGTATTTTGGTACTCTGGGTCTACTAGTCTCATCATAAACTGCTACATCAAACAGATTATAGTTGATATCTCTGAGCTATCCATTCCATGACACCCTCATAGCTACTTTGTGGCGAATGTTAAAATGTCATCGACGATTATCTGCAGGCCTGAGGCAGAAGCGTACAGTTTTCCGGGGAAAAGCGACAGTGCACGTGAGCGATAAGGAGGCGATAAGCCGGAAGCGGATTAGCGCGGGGTGGTTTTTCCCACCCGCAACCGTGGAGGAGAATAATTTTGTGACTCGACGAGCAGCTCAACGCCCCGTCGCTGTGCTCCTCAGTCAGTCGAACTCACACGCGAGAGGTGTGTCTGTGACACCTTCATCCAGGGGACTACATTGTTCCCCTTATTCAAGTACAACACTACATTCCGTTCTACCCTCCCACCTGTTTCCTAAATTCCGCACCGACCGAATACCCACAACTTCACAATGGCCTCCGACTCCACCTACTTGGCCATCCCTGGCTCTGTTGCCTTCTCCCGTTCTCGTGGTCGTGCAATTGCTGCCAGCATTGGTGCACAGGATGTCCGTGCCCAATGGGTTCATTACGTTTACCTCTCCCAGCCGCTGGACGCTCCCCAACAAGGTGTCTTGGAACAGCTCCTTCACTATGGCGATATCACCGACGTCCCGCCCTCGTTCAGCGCTGAAGATGGTCCTTCCGATGTCTTCCACATCTTCCCCCGCACTGGTACAATCTCCCCCTGGAGCTCTCAGGCTACTGGTATTTCCCATGTTTGTGGTCTGCGCAAATATGTCAATCGCATTGAGCGGGGTATGAAGATCTCCTGCCTGCGCGCAGGCTCTGGCGAGTACAAGTCGGGATACCAGGATATCTTGCACGATCGGATGACTCAGGTCATCAGCGAGGAAGAGCCTGACTTGCACCTGATGTTCTCCGAGCACAGCCGTCTGCCTCTCGAGACGATCCCCCTGCACGGAAGTGGCAAATCTCCCAAGGAGGTCCTGCAGGAGGCAAACAAGCGGCTCGGATTGGCTCTTGAAGAGTCCGAAATTGATTACCTGGCTGAAGCCTATGGTCCCAACGGCCCTATTGCTCGCGATCCGACCGATGTCGAGCTGTTCATGTTCGCCCAGGTCAACTCCGAGCATTGCCGTCATAAGCAGTTCAACGCATCGTGGGTCATCGACGGAAAGCAGATGCCTAACAGTCTGTTTGCCATGATCCGCAACACCCACAAGAAGCACCCAGAGTACACGGTCAGTGCCTACAGCGATAACGCTGCTGTCCTTGAAGGAGACGAATCCGCTTTCTGGGCTCCCAACTCGGCCACTGGTGAATGGAACCACACTAAGGAACTTGTTCATTTCCTGGCTAAGGTCGAAACACACAACCACCCCACAGCCGTTTCCCCCTACCCCGGTGCTGCGACCGGATCTGGTGGTGAGATTCGTGATGAAGGTGCCGTGGGCCGGGGTTCGAAGCCCAAGGCTGGTCTCTCTGGTTACTGTGTTTCCGATCTCCTCATCCCGGATCTGAGGCAACCTTGGGAGCTCGATGTTGGTAAGCCCAACCACATCGCAAGCAGTCTGGACATTATGCTTGAAGCACCCATCGGTAGTGCTCATTACAACAACGAGTTCGGACGGCCCTGCATTTCCGGTTACTTCCGTACCCTCTTGACTGAGATCGACGTTGGTAACGGCCAGACTGAGCTCCGCGGCTACCACAAGCCCATCATGATTGCTGGTGGTGTCGGAACTGTTAGACCCGACCATGCCATCAAGAAGCCCGAGGCTGTCAAGCCTGGAGCCTTCCTTGTTGTGCTGGGTGGCCCTGCTATGCTGATTGGTCTCGGTGGCGGTGCTGCCTCTAGTATTACCTCTGGTGAAGGATCCGCCGACCTTGACTTCGCCAGTGTGCAGAGAGGTAACGCTGAAGTTCAGCGCAGGGCTCAGGAAGTGATCAACGCATGCACGGCTATGGGTGACAACAACCCCATTAAGTTTATTCATGATGTTGGTGCTGGAGGTCTTTCCAATGCTCTTCCCGAACTGATCCATGACTCTGGTCTGGGAGCCACTTTCGAACTTCGTGAGGTGGACAGTGCCGACAAGAGCATGAGCCCCATGCAGATCTGGTGCTGCGAAGCTCAGGAAAGATATGTGCTGGCCGTTGGCGAGGAGAGCATGAACAAGTTCACTGCTATTGCTCACCGTGAGCGTTGCGGTTTCTCTGTCGTTGGCCGTGGTGGTGGCACGTCGGAGGAAGAGAAGAGGCTTATTCTCTTGGACAGGGACTCCACTGAGTACCCCAAGCCCATTGATCTGCCTCTCTCTGTCCTTTTCGGAAAGCCTCCGAAGATGACTAGGGTCGTGGATTCCCGCAAATTGAAGCTGCCCGCTGTGGATGCCAGCCTCACCACGTATCTCCCATCAATGGCCTCGAACAACCTCGAACTCATTGGTGAAGCCGCGAACAGGGTCCTGTCTCTCCCTGCTGTTGGCTCTAAGTCTTTCCTCATCACCATCGGTGACAGGACGGTCGGTGGTCTCACTGCCCGCGACCAGATGGTTGGCCGGTGGCAGACTCCTGTTTCCGACGTTGCTGTCACTGCCACGGCGTTGGTTCAAGGTGTCAAGACCGGTGAGGCCATGGCCATGGGTGAAAAGCCCAGTCTTGCTTTGATCTCCCCCGCGGCTTCCGCGCGCATGGCAGTCGCAGAATCTCTTATGAACATTGCTGCCGCTGACCTGGTCGACCGCCTGAGCCGTGTGAAGCTTTCCGCCAACTGGATGTCGGCTAGCAACCACCCAGGCGAGGGTGCTGCCATCTATGAGGCTGTAGAGGCCATCGGTATGGATCTCTGCCCCAAGCTTGGCATCAGCATTCCTGTTGGAAAGGACTCTATGTCCATGAAGATGAAGTGGAAGGATGAGGCTTCTCAGGAAGCCAAAGAGGTTACTGCCCCCATGTCTCTGGTCATCACTGCCTTCGCCCCTGTGGGCAACTTCCGGAAGACCTGGACCCCTGCCCTTCGTCGTCCCGAGGAGGTTGGCGAAACTGTTCTCATGTTCGTTGATCTCTCTTTCGGTCGGAAGACTCTGGGTGGTTCTGCTCTTGCTCAAGTTTTCAAGCAGGTTGGTGACGAGTGCCCTGACGTGCGTGATGTTGAGATCTTCAAGGACTTCTTCGATGCTACGCAATCTTTGCAAGACGCCGGTATCGTTCTGGCCTACCACGATCGCTCCGACGGTGGTCTGTTCACCACTCTTGCGGAGATGATGTTTGCTGGACGCTGTGGTGTTGAGATCATGCTCGACAACATTTGCTCCAGCTCCAGCACCAAGGATGTTGTGGAGACTCTTTTCACTGAGGAATTGGGTGCCGTGTTCCAGGTCCGCAAGGAGCACGAAATTCAGTTCCGCTCTTGCTTTGCCACCTGCGGTCCTCCTGCTGGTCTGATCCACAAGATTGGACGTGTCTCCGAAAAGCCGAAGACGAACCTTACCATCTACCACAAGCACACCCTGGTGTACCGCAACAGCCGCGCCAACCTCCAGCAAACCTGGGCCACCACCTCCTACAACATGCAGAAGATCCGTGACAACGCTGCTTGCGCCGATCAGGAGTTTGCCAGCATTGCCGACGATGCCGACCCTGGTCTGTCCTGGAACCTGACCTTCGACCCGAAGGACAAGGCCATGCCTTTTATGACCAGTCTGACTCAAATGTCCCCCTTCAGCAACAAGCCCCGTGTTGCCATCCTCCGTGAACAGGGTGTAAACAGTCAAGCAGAGATGGCCTTTGCTTTCAGCAATGCTGGCTTCTCTGC